CTATCCCTAGGAAGTGTGCATTCTTGTGAAATAAACCTTTCGGAATATTTCCCGCATAAATCAATTACTCTCTTCATGAAACCTCAAATAGAAATAGTCTCATTCAATTCACCGATACCTGTGACACTATACACTAAAATTGAAGAAAATGTCTGTAACTTTCTACCGAAGATTTGAGTCATCATTCATTTGGAGCTTTGTATATTTCACTAATGTCCATCTGACAAACTCAAACTGGGCACAAACTCAAAAACAATTCGACAGTTACAAAGGTTTCCTCCTTGGCATTTCACTGAAATTCTGATAACATAAGGATAACCTTCGAAGGAAGAACTAACGAAAGGCATCCTTCAGGGGCTGCCCTTATCTCACTGAAATCGACCATATCTACGGCAGCTCAACTCGAAAACCATGCATCACTTCCAAGGGCTCCCTCTTTAGACAAGAAAGAAAAAATATTGTTTACTTCAAACCCGTGAATAAGTCTTCCTAAAAAAAACACAAAAAGGATAAACTTACTTCCATATCAAGATGGTGAACTCATCAACAGCAGAAAAATAGACAGTTATTTTGACCAATAAACTATCATGACAATTAGCATCTCACTCAAGTCTGAAACAGGAAAGAATCATTTGTTAAACAAAATAGACTTACTTCGAAATCGAAAACCGGCATCGATCTACAACGGAAAGAAGACTATATTTACAGAAGAAAACTTACATTTAAGAATTCATTGAATATTTATCCGCGTCAGGCAACAAACAAGCATAAAACGAATAGAATAGAATGCTGCTAAATCTTATTTCTACGTGTTATATCTACCTAGATTTATTGTGAGTAGAATACGAGCTAGCACTTTATCCGCTATTCGCACGAAAGTGGCATCGTACTTCGTTGTTTTTGTGACCATCTTAAACAAAAACAAAAAAAGAACAGCAACTTATATTCTAAGATTCAACTTACCATTAAATTAATTATTCGCATATACCTAAAATATTAAAAAAAACACTAATTCATTCTATCAGATTGACATTACCTGTCTATTCATACATGTGACCTATCGAAAAAGACACCACTAATTATTGAATTGATTTCGGAGACACAGCTACTCAAGTCTACCATTCAACTATCGCGTCCCTGGCACTGAAAAAATCATGACGCATTCGGATTCCTAGGCATCGATAACCTATTTCAAACTTCGATCAGATTCAAATCGGAGTTGAAATAAAAAGTCTAACTTTGTGGCCTTCGAATTTTTAATGGACCTAATATCTGACCAATGGGAGCTCAGATCGAAAAACTGATGACGGATTCAGAATCCTCAACCTCAATAACCAATTTGAGATTTATATTACTTAAATCACATTCCGAAAATATAAAGTGGTGCATCAAGCCAAAACCATCTTTGGATAAATTGTTCAGCATTAAAAAAATGCCGCATGACGGAACCTTTTCAAACATCCGGAGCTATTGAGGATTTGAGATGGTTCGTTAAACTAGTTAGGATGCTCGATAGTTTATTATTGAGCAAGTCAAACCTTAAAAGTTTTAGTATCTTGCTAGAACCATAAATGGTTCCATATGACACCTTTTGTTTTCAGAGTATATACTTGTATGGACCTTTTTACAATATTTGCTTTGTAGACTTTCAGCTTTCGCTAATAAACTCTGCTGTATTTCGTTGTACCGTTATGTCGACCATTGTACAATTTTTACAGCGAGCAGTGAAACATTCCTAACCAAGCGAATAAATAAGAAATTTTCAATAGTATAAATTATCGCATATCCTTTCAAACGGAGCGGAGTGGTCTTGTGATAACCTCTTGGAATTTGAATAGCCTCTGTACGGGAGCTGATAATGCTTAGACTGTTCTACAAAGCTGCCATTTATACCGCGAAATTAAACAGCGATTGGATAACTAATGAAATCATATGATGGTCTCTGTAAAACAAGACAAGATTCCTCATTTTTTTTATACGAAGCTTTCAGCCGTCTTGATAGCCTAGCATAATGGTTTTGTACACAGTGTACGAAACCATTGGTAGTTTCATGAACTCTATAATGGTTCGGCATATCTTTACGAAACCATGTATGCCTCTATAAGGGTTGCAAAGGTTTCGCAGGCACTTTACGAAACTACTAATTACTTCGAAAGGCATAAAATGGTTTTGTATATCTTTTGCGGAACCATTAACGGTTTCGTCCAGTTATCTGAAGGTTCAGCAGACATACTACGAAACTTTTGCCAGTTTCATAGAGTATCTAAAAGTTCCGGATATGTTCTACGAAACCATTCATAGTTGTTTTAGGGCTCTAATCGTTCCGAATATATTCCACGAAACTAGCCGTGGTTTTGCAAAAGATATACTGAACTATTATATCATTTACGAAAGTGTAAATGTTTTCGTGTAATGTGTGCTGAACCTTTGGATGCTTCGCGAAACATTTCATAGATTCGTATAAGATACACGGAACCTTTCCTTCTTCAACGAAACTCATTAGTTTCGTAAAACATAAAACAGTTCAGCGTAGATCGTACGAAACTATCACTGCTTCATAAATTATACAAAGGTTCAGTATTTCTTTGACGGAACTGGAAATAGTTTCTTAGAATGTGTGCAGAACCTTCAAAGGACTCACGCAACCCTGAATAGTTTCGAAAAACTTATACGGAACTTTTAACCGCTGTTCAGAACTCTCAATGGTTTTGTATGACGAAAACGAAACTGCCAAAAGTTCGGTTCACGCTTAACGAAACTTCTAGATGGTTTCGTAGTAAAACTTCAAAACTCTTTCCAACTTTTGGAACTTAAAAAGGCTCTGTACAAAAGTTCCGAAACTATTTCCATGCCACCGAACTTAAAATCTTTCGTAAAATACTACCAAGCCTTCAAAGTTCGGTAGGACACCTATCTTTTACAGTGTATAGTGCTTATCGTGGTCTTTTTGCTACGGTAGGTGCTCTGATTATCCAATTGCTTGAATTTTTAGCTCATCAACGAGTTTATTCGAAACAATGTGCACATATTCATATAACAACAAACAAAAGTGTTAATTAAATAGCGATAACAAAAGATAAAATCGATGGGAGAGAGAAGAAGAAGAAGAAGAAGAAGAAGACGATAGAAAACGATACGGCAGAAACTTCAGCTATGAAATGCAACAGTCACTTGAGCGAAACAACGAATCATAAACACGACGATTTGAAACAAATCGGAAGTTGAACGGAACAACCTGAAAAAATAGAACAAGTCATTGAAATCACTGGAAAATCAGTCAACGACAATCAAGCATATAACCATTTAGACGAATCGACACATATTAAAAATATTCATAGTTTTCTTTTTTCCTACATACTATATGTTTTTATTAGCTGAAAATAAAAAGAAAAAAAGATGCAAAATATCTCAACAAAAAATATCTATACAAAAAAGAAAAAATACACTCGTACAGAGAGCGATGAAAAGAAAAAGTGTCGTAAGAGTACGTGCACAATATTAAAAAAGGTGCTGTGCAGAAAAATCGTGTGCATCACTCAGAGTAACATATAAACAGCCTTCGTATGCGACTTTCTTTTTATGTAGCCAGAAAAAAACAAAAGAGAATAGATGGACGAGTAGCGCATAAAAAAAGAGGGCCCCATACAGGTAGCTGCGTATCTATCTCCTCCTATCGGTAGACGATAGAGAGGGAGAGAGAAAGAGAGAGAGAGAAAAGGGTAGGGAGAGAGAGAAAAAAGAGAGCGAAATACGGCATAGATCGTGTGAAGAGTCGAATATATAATATCATTTTCATTACGGTGTAAAAAAAAGGTCGCTAGAAAAACAGATTAATAGAGACTCGAGTAAATCACTAAGAATACATCACAATTATCAAAGATGGATTCAATGGACAATATTAGTACAACAACTGTAGCACCGGACAGTAGTTGTTCTTTGACTAACGGAGAACTAAACAATTCCTACGATTTAACACTTCATATCGTATCTGTTTTTGTGTTGTTGATCATCTCATTATCTGGTGCTTTTGCTTCAGTTGGCTCAGTAAGAGTGAAATTCTTACGTATTAATCCAATTATTATCAATACAGGCAAATTTTTTGGTAGTGGGTAAGTTAAAAACAATGAATTTACATAAGTTTTTTTTTCATATTCAAATTCATACTATAGAGTTGTATTGGGAACAGGTTTCATACATATATTACCAGAAGCTATACAAACATTAAATAGTGATTGTCTTCCAGAATCTTGGACTGCATACAGTGCTTATGGTGGTCTTTTTGCTATGATATCTGCTCTGGCTATGCAATTGCTTGAATTTTTAGCTCATCAACGAATTTATTCGAGACAATGTGGACACACTCATATCACAAGAAACAAAAGTGCTAATGAAATAGTGATAACAGAAGATAAAATCGATGGGAGAGAGAAGAAGAAGAAGAAGAAGACGATAGAAAACGATACGGCAGAAACTTCAGCTATGAAATGGAACAGTCACTTGAGCGAAACAACAAATCATAAACACGACGATTTGAAACAAATCGGAAGTAGAACGGAACAACCTAAAAAAATAGAACAAGCCATTGAAACCACCGGAAAACCGGTCAGCGACACTCAATCATACGATCATTTAGACGAATCGACACATATTACACATATTCATAGCCATGGTGACGTAGTACACAAAGAAAATCAAAACGGTATCATATTAATTGAAATAACAAACAATGAAGTGACATCAGCATCGGCAGATCTTTGTGAAGTATCAGGACATAGTCATGGTATAGCTTTTCATGATGATGGCGAAGCCAGTAAAATAAGTACTTATCTACTTGAAGGCGGCATAGCGCTTCATTCGGTTCTTATTGGTTTAGCCTTGGGTACAACAGCGGATTCCTTTGTTGCTCTATTTATTGCACTTTGTTTGCATCAATTCTTTGAAGCTTTTGCGCTCGGTGCACAAATTGCTCGTACAGAGAAAATCTCATTGAGAGCAGCTATCTTGATGGTTATATTTTTTTCTCTTACAACTCCTGTTGGCATTGCTATTGGTATTGGCATTCATTCTGGTGCATACAATCCCAATTCGGTGACTTCCTTGCTTGTTACTGGTATCTTAGATGCAATAGCAGGTGGCATTCTTATTTATGTAGCACTGGTTAATTTAATTGCTGCTGATATGGGTCTTCATACAAGTGAATTTTACTCATTCAGCAAACGATTAAAATTCTTATATTATGGTGCATTATATCTCGGTGCAGCAGCAATGGCTGTGATTGGACGATGGGCGTAGAAGAATACAATTTAGAAGAGATTCAATATATTGTTTTAAAATCTAATCCAATTAGAAGTTGATTCTATCTTCTTATTTGGATTTCTCTTTTTTTTGTGTGATAATCTGTGAGTGAATAATCATACCTGTTTATATATATTGGGTTGGCTAGAAAGTTTTTACGTTTTTTTCAAGATTATATTTTTGTTTTTTAACTTCAAGAATACAACTGACTTTCAACAATATATGTTCCATTAGTATCTATGACTTGCCGCCAACGCTCTAGTAGAGAAAACATCCCACATTCGTAGAAGTCCTAGGGCTTTTGATCGAAGAAGTCGGCAAGATCCATTTTGAGGTGCTTCTCATCGTCGAATTTTTTCTCACTTACATGATTTTTGACGGAGAACGGTACAAGTGGTAGTCTATAGGAGTCAGCCTGGAGAATAAGGTGGATGTGGAACGGTTATCCATCCGAGCTTCAGTAAGTTTTTCCTAGTTGACTTTGCGATGGGAGGTTTGGCATCGCCATGCAAAAAATAAATTTCATCATGCTTCCCTTGAAGTTTTGCTGCAATTCGGTCCAATTGTTTGCAGTAGAGATCAGCAGTGATGCTGCACCCAGTTGGCAGTAGTTCTCAGTGAATAATTACTTTTACTCCCCACCAAACGCTAAACATGATCTTCCTTGAGTGGCGGACATTTTTGGGCGTTGGTATACCTGTTTGCCCCGTTCTCAGCCACTGTCGCCGGCGTGTGTGGTTAACATACAACACCCACTTTTCATCGCCAGTAATAAGATTGTGCAGACATTGGCAGTTGCGATGAGACGTCATTAATTCCATACACGCGTCAACCCTGTGTTGGAGCTGAAATGGTGATAATTCGAGTAGCTGCCTAATTCGACTTCGAATATAAATGAAAAAAAACCGCTTCCATGTTTTCACGCCACTGTCAGAAATAGATTTAGATTTTACAAATCATAAATGTATAAGTCGACCGTCAATCCCATTTATAATTTAGGAATAGATTTAGATTTACTTTTTATAAATTATAAAATTTATAAATGGACCGTCACTCCCATTTATAATTTAGGAATAGATTTAGATTTACTTTTTATAAA